CCCAAATCACCATATTCCTGACCAAGACACATATAATGCCAAAAAAAAGGGCAGAAGATACTATTCCGACTCCTTGCTCTCCGCAATAACATTTAAGCGCTCATTTCAACATCATTTATATATTATCCGTTTGCGCTTTCTTCAAAGGTAAGAATCCAGAGAATGTAAAGGTAAGCACAGAGCAGCATATCCACGACACATGAGGAGAGGGACACCGAAGTTGCCATCGAAGTCTCAGACACAACCGCAACACGACAGACATCTAAAGACAAGGCAAAGGGGCCCAACAACATTAATAAAGCTTCCTCCACGAAATACACACACCTATAAGCTAAATCTACATACCCGACCAGACAGACGGGCGAATCCACTGACAAAAGCAGAAAGCTCGATGCTAATTTATACAGTGCCGCATACTGTCAACTATATAAAAGACTTAAGCATTTAATATAACATACGACCACTGATATCTCTACCAAGATCACAGTGCTCTCTTAGAAGCACAATAAGCAAGATACTATCTACATAGCAACGACAGTCCACGATCCGTTTTATTTTGAAATATGTTCTTCATCTCTCTACAGCAGTAAAATGGAAGTAAGACCATTAAACTTAAGATACCATTTTTCCTCCTCTAGCACTTATAGCATGCAGAAATGCCGAAACATACCTGCCACTAGACAAAGAGATCAGTTTGTAACCATTCCAGCAATCCTATAGATACCGATAGTCCATCTTTCGCGAAGCTCATACACGAGTTAGCCATTTACTGATCCCATATCACATGTACCCTGCTGCTTCACTCCACCTATTTATAATTCAAGCTCCTCATCATCCACCAAGCACTCGTACCATTTTCCTAAAGTACTTAATACATAACACCTAAGACTCACGAACACATGAATATGGATACTGCTAGACGCTACATCACAATCGAACAGTAAGTGAACATTATTGATAGTACCTCAAAAATGCCAGAGAAGCCATGCAACCTACGAAGCTTTCAAGAACACAAAAACGCTTTCCACAGAAGCACAGATATCACTTATGGGATCAGGTCAGACCATACTGAGATATACAGTAATCTTACCCCAATGGACCTCACAGGGCTACCGAGTACTGTATCGCCAAGTACCTAACTGCCTTGCTATATCCGGAAGACTCTTGGAGGTCGCTCCACACATGACAAGACGGCCCAGCCTGCCTAGCGCTAATAAGTGTCAGCATCTGCAGGCTTATATTCTGACAATAATCCATGTCCGCGCCCGACACGCCTCCACATCTCCCCCCTCAGACCACTGGCTCTCTCAGAACAGTGTACAACATCTGGTCGACACTGAGAGGCGACAAAATCGGGGAACACCGCTATTCAGCAACTGGGGATAGCCTGAAACCCGTGTAAATACAACAGCACACTTTGGGCGCGCTTTGGTTTGGCGCCTCGTGCACATACACCAACTCTCATTCCATCCCAATGTAATCGATCACATAATTATCTCAGGACAGTGGGTCGCTCACTGACGCATTCCCCCTCAAGCTTCGCATACATCATACGTACCAATAAGGGGACGAAAAGGTCTGTGATATTAGAGACTAATCGACCCCGTTACCGTGAGTCAGACAAAGACTAACCCTCCAGTTAACCAACACCTGCGAAGGCTCACAGGCTCTCAGCCTGGCAGCCAATCAGACGTGCACTAAAACCCCGTTGCTACACAGCAATAAAAGTGGAAACCAATTAGGGCCTGCTCCTACAAAACAAGGGCGAGAGTAAGGACTATACCGCGTCGGAGAATGAACATTTTATAACCTATTATGAAAATATACTAAAAGGTCTTTTCTATAACTACCATATATATTCATAACATTACACACCTTACACAAGCTATAAATTAAACATCTGCAGCGCAATCTATTTAAGGACCTTAACACTAAACATTACTGACGTCTCATCCAAATGCATACAACAGCTCCAATACAATACTTCAATAGTCTCGTTTAAGTTAAAACGAAATTCCTAATACTACTACATATAAACATACCTACTATGACACAACACCCTACTCGCTCTAACCTGCAACACAATACCATACAATGCCCCGATATCATTGTGTCACAATATCTCGAATAAATTCAATACCTTACAAATAGAACCTGCAACAGCTAATACATCACTGACTTTTCTAATTTGTTAATTCTATTGCGCCAAAAAAAATAGAATTAGGATCTACTAAATAAATAAAATCTAATGAACACAATACAGCCTGCAATTTATTAACTCCATTAGCCTATACAAACAACGATATTGCAAACCTGTCAATAGCTTCCTAAGTCCTCTTTCAATCTACAAACTAATCTCATGCTCCTACATCATCCCTATATTAAGCATGGAAATCATGTTTGAAATACACCTCGTCATCTACACACCACCCACTTGTCCATGTCACATCTCCATCCAGTTCTGACCCACTATATCCCCCTCGCCTAGAGAAAGAACTCGATGAACTTCTTTTAACCACTTCTCATTATCTTCAGACCTCCTGGAGATGGTTGTTAGAGCGACCTGTAACTGTCCCTGACAGCTCAAGTGATCACAGTTTCCTTCACTTGTTCAACAGATCTCAGTTCTATCCTTTAAAAGAGCTTCAGGTTATCAGGACCATCTCCTGTGACCCTGGCAACTTCAGCAATGTCATGATAATTTGTGTTGTTGTTATATTTTGAACTTGCGCAGAACGACACACACTGGCTGCTGATGGTCCAGACAGAAAATTTGAGTTCTCTTAGAGTGTGCATTTAAGAAGCTTCATCAGTTTCTACAAGAGGAAGAGGAAACATTGTCCAAACACTGAGACTGTCAGCAAACAGTGGCTGAAGCTGATGAGAGAGAAATTAAAACCTCTGAACTCAGTTACAGATGATGTAAGCAGGAAGTATAATGTTACCAAAGAGTTAGATAGCAGTGGGTTAAAACTTCAGGCTTGTTGTTTTTAGCTTATATTTATTTATATTTTGGCAAATTGCCTCCCATTAAAAGTATGCTGTATTAGCTATTAGCAGTTCAATTAATATTAAATTACTTTGATATTAAAGAAAACACATGATGATTTATCAGAGTTAGAGCAGAGGGATTTATGGATGTTTATAAGGGATGGACGTAATGATATCTGATGAAAGTTTAGTCAAAGCCATTAAAAAGAATCGGCCTGCAGATTTATTATAGATGTAAGTGTTTAAGTTATAGTTATAAAAATAAATATTTCATTTTTCAATGTATCATTTTTCCTTAGTCCTTACTCTCCCTTATTTTACAGACAATTGTTCCCCAGCTTTAATTTAAAGGTTTAGCTTTAACACAAGGTAAGCTTTAACTTACCTTATGTGTCTGTATGAGACGCAGAGGGGCATGACATAGCACTGTCAGTATTTGATGACCTGGGATGAGAATGTGTTCAATGGCAAACACACAAAGTGGCGCAACATCATTTCAGCCAATCAGCAACGGGTGGCGTTTGTGCTTGTGCACAGGAGAGAAAGGGGAGGGGAGATGGGGAGATGTGGGGAGCGAATAGACGTTATGATCAGGAAAGGCCGAAGAGCTGCAATAACATCGGTGAGGCTTTCCAATGGTGGAGAGACCTCCAAGAGTTTAAAGGCATAAGACGTATGCAGAAGTCGCTCTGCATCCATGGGTAAGATATGTTTCAGCTGGTATGCTGGCTCTGGGAAACGTTTTGTCGTCTCTGAAAGCTTCGCAGCAGCAATTCTTACATTACATTACCTTCCTTGTTAGCGTAGCTACATAACCAATGGTCCTCTCTCTAGTGAAGTTTTATATTATAATGTTATATTATAAAAGTGGCACTGCATACTTACACTATACTACAAACACCAACAGTGTTGAAGCATACCCTGCTTCATCTATTTTACTCTGAATAGGACCATAACTTACAAAATAAACATCATGCTGCATGGAAGAAGACTTGAAACTAGAGATTAGGAAACGGTTTACTGATGTAATAAGCTTAAGCATACGTAATAAGCTTACATACAATCAGACTTCGTTTTGCATCCAGTGGATTCGCCCCCTGCTGGCCATTAGAAATAATAGAGGTTTAGGACACTTCCACATTGGTGTCACTTTTCAGACGTGGAAGCTTTCTCATTCACCATTTATGGAGGTAAAATGCTGTTAATGTCGCTGTAGCGGAGGAGGAGCAGGCAAGATTCCTGCCTTGGCAATGTGTGTCCATGAATTGGACTTTGAATTTGGTTATTGAGTTCAAATGTCAACAACCTTTCTTCGGAATGATTAACCCCAGCCTTTATCAGCTGAGCAGGTACAGAAGGTTCCACACCCTTGTGTGACTCACCAGAGATAAACCAGGAAATACAGTGTGTTATTTTTTCGTGATCACTGGAAAAAGACGGAAAGACAGATTTATTTTTTGTTGCAAACTCAGCAGAGAAAACTGGAATACTGCTTATACCTGATGCCGACTTCTCAATCTGAATGTGAGTTTATAACTAAGAAAACCTTTCTAGTTGAGACACTAACAGGACAACTGACTGACTGAGTCTGCCTGGTTCCCTGCTTTGTTTTCAGCATTTTATTAACATAATGGCTTCCATATCAGAGGATGATCTCTCCTGTCCGGTCTGCCAGGACATCTTCAAAAATCCTGTTGTTCTGTCATGCAGCCACAGCTTCTGTAAAGACTGTCTGCAGACATGGTGGAGAGAGAAACCTACACAGGACTGTCCAATTTGTAAGAGAAGATCATCAAGGAGTGATCCACCTTGTAACCTGGTATTAAAGAACCTGTGTGAGACATTTTTATTGGACAGAGATCAGAGAGCTTCAGCAGGATCTGAGGCTCTCTGCAGTCTGCACTCTGAG